GGTTGCAAGCAAGCCACAGAAATCACATAACAAAGCAATCTGAATCTTCCGAAATAAATTCCAAAAATACGAGTTGATTCGCAACAACGAATACAGTATATGAAATGAATCTGAATGTACAAAATGAATTCCGAAAAGGAATCATTCTAACATAACGAATGTGATTAAACAAAATGATTGACTTAATAAATGAATGTGGAACAAAGCAAAACACATTTTTTCGTGGTGTACATCTCTAATAATATCCATATTAGTAAAGCAATAGTAATTAAAGTAGAACTATAGGCAAAACTTGTTTTAATTTTGGATAGAGCAAGGGAGGGTCAGATTTTTTTTGTATCTCATTAGGAAAATTTTTCTTCGCTTCCTGTCCCATAGCCAAACAGGAAGTGAGAGGAAATCCCTGCAAATTAAGGGATTTCCAAGGACCACGATTAGTCAATCTCAGAAGTAGGTAGAAGCGTATATCTATCTGCAATCATACTCTAAGCCATTCTGCAGCTGGCTTCACCATCTATATAAATTGGTGTGGCCACCAAAACTCAACAAAGTGCTAATCAAACAAACTAGGGTAACTAATAACCCAAAAAGGAAGTTTCAAAAGGGACCAAGCAGCTTATGTGCATATAAATGGCTTATTGAGAAAATAATAATAATATATATAAAAAACTAATATACAGGAAAAGGCTAAAACCACTATCCACCACTACACTTAAAATTAAAAAGGCAACACTGTCTCTTCGCCGAGGCAGCTGCTCATCCAACCTGCATTCATACATACATATAGCATGGTACTAGATACACTGTAAAGTGCTGACCAAGCAGGGCTGAATGGGATCAAATCAGCTGTAGAAATATGAGCAATGGGATATATTCATATATACACCTGTCAGATTCCACGTCATCACGCATGTAACATACGTGATGTTACCACGTCTTTTTAATTTTAGGTGTGTTGGTGGATGGTGGTTTTGGCCTTTTCCTGTATATTAATTTTGATGTAGATTATTATTATTTTCTCAATAAAGCCATTCATATGCACATAAGCTGCTTGGTCCCTTTTGAAACTTCATTTTTGGGTTACTAGTTACCCTGGTTTGTTTGATGTGCACAAGTGACAACATGCACCATGCAAGATTGCTATGAATAGCACTAACAGTGCTAAATTCTTCCAAACACTTTGATAAATAGGTCTTCTAGGTCTAACTGGTTTGAAAGAAGATATACTCTTCTTGACCATTGCTGCACTAGGAATAATTAATTGGTTATCATTCTAGATATATTTTTTTCAGTCACTTAGGCCCTGTTGTTTTCCAAGAAATGTCTAGATCAGTGGTCTCCAAACTGCAGCCTGGGGGCCAGATAGGGCCCTTTGCCTGCCTATATCTAGCCCTTTGGGCACTATTACTCTCAGTGACACCAACGATTGGGTACAATTACTCCCACTGACACCAGTGATGGGACAGTATTCCTTCCCCTGATACCAGCAATGGGGCACAATTCCTCCCACTGAGTTCAATGATAAGGTACTATTCTTTCCCCAACAACCGAGAAAAATTCCTTGCACTGACACCAACAACGAGGCATTATTCCTTCCCGATACCATCAATGGGGCACTGTTCCTCCCACTAATACCAGCGATGGGGCATAGTTTACTCCAACTGATGCCAGGGCATTTTGCACTCACACTGACAGACTGGTCCCCCCAAAGTCTAGAAAACGGTAAACTGGCCCGCTGTTTAGAACATTTGGAGACCCCCCGGTCTACATGCTAGTAGTTGTTTTCTTTTAATCCACAGTGACATGGAGTACTTTATGTTATCAGGAATCTGTGTTATTTAATATCATGGAAAGTACACTGGCAGTATTAGATAAAATGCCAGAGTGGGGATATATATATAGACACATAACCTTTTGTCACAGAGGCCGCAACAGGGTTTTATTGCTTTTTATCATCTATGTTCCATTTCATTTCCGCAATTTTATTTTTAGTCTCGTTTAAGAACTTGCTGTCCCTGTCAGAAACACTTTGTCATGGGTTGTACTGCCCCTTCCATGTATTTAAAGGATCAGTCCACCCAAAATATACATTTTCTTTTATTGGTGGTTACTGGAGAGTTAAACCACCTGACAGCTTCTTATACAGCAATCTCTTCTGAAATCTATTGATGAGATCTCTGGGCCTATGTGTCCATGTCCGAACATAGCGCTGGGTACATTATAAAGGGATCGCACTCTCACTGATGAATTTTTTTAATTATTGTACATTTTGGGGACTGTAACAGGATGGAGATAAGTAAACCACTGAGTCTGCCCTAATTTTGAAAATTCATTTTTTTTCACTTTTTTTAGTATATATCTCTGTTTGTCCCAAGCATGTTTGAATTCATTTACTGTTGTCTGATTCACTAACTCTTCCAGAAGTCTATTTGAAGAATCAACAATAATACTTTCTAAGATTAGCTTTGAACTTTCCTCCTTCTAGTCTGAGGTCATGTTCCCGTTCTTGATTTTAGCTTCATATTGAAAACACTGCCCTCCTGAACCTTATAAATACCTTTAATTAATTATTTATTTATTACAGGTACTACAGCGCCATCAATTTACGCAGCGCTTTAAACTGGTGTTTTCACCAGTATATTCTCTGACAAAATACTCATGTGTATAATATACTGTATATACACATCTTAATATATTGTTAAGAATGTTTGTGTGTGGGTATATATATATATATATATATATATATATATATATATATATATATATATATATATATAAAAAAAGAGGAGATATATGAACTCATTGCAATATCACACCGACTAGCCAGTATCAGGGCTGCTGTGGGAAACCACAGGGCCCCATACAACCAACCTGGCAGCCCCCCCCTTCCCCCAAAAGACACAGTTTACTATGCTTCAGTTAAGAATGAACACAGTTTGTGATCAGTACTGATACTCTTTGTGTTCATTCAGGAAAGGAGGGGGCTGGTAAATGTGCTATATTTACAGGACCCTTTCTCCACTCTCCATCCTGAAGGATCCTATTGTGTGCTTGCAGCTGCCAGTGGAAAGGAGGGAAGCCAACAGCACTGAGGGGTGGGGGCACAGGGCCTAGGCAACAGGGCGAAATGTATGGTGCACATGGAGGGTGATGGGTGCAGGGGGGCAATAACTGGAACCAATCCCCTGTATGGCTCTCTCTGCAACAGCTGAAAGCCAGCAGGAGGAAGAGGAGAAGAAGCCAGCTTTCAGCTGCTGCAGAGAGACCCATACAGGGGATCGGTTCCAGTAATTGCAAATCCCGCCGTGCCAGTCACCCTCCTTGCCCACATCTGATTCACCCAGCTGCCTGGGCCCCCCCTGCTGGCCTGGGCCCTCTACAGGAGGATACATGGCCCTGGTCAGTATTGTAACATACACCATGTATGTCAAGGTCTGCTTTTACTCCAGGTTTAGAGATATTTATAACTTACAGCACTTCTGATTTATTGTACTGATATATTGTCCTGTAACACTGTACTGAAGCAGTTCTATTCCAAGCATGTAGAGTACATGTTCAAGAAAAGTCCAAAGTTCTACCAGTGTAATAAACCTCATGCACCTTCAACCAACAAGAAACACAGTCATCCATATGTCTGGCATACAGCACATATTACCCTGAAAAAATAATTACTTTCAAGAAATAAAATGTAACAGTCAGCTGAGCAATACATTATGCACATTCTCTTAAAAAAAATTAACGAATATTACGGATAGAAAAATAGTGTATTTAAACAAAAACAGTGCTGTGGAATAACAGTTCTAAAACTTCGTCCTTTTGACAATTTTTGTTTCATTTTAAATATAGTACGACCTTTAATACCAGATTTATTTTCCTACGAACGGAAAATTGGGTTTTAGCAATCGTATCTGCTTTAAAGAGACCCTGTCAGCAGACCATTCATTTCACATAAATATTCCTTTAATGGTATATGCATATTCAAAGTATTGTCTGCATGTATTTTTATAAAGGCTCCTTTGTCCAGACGTCCAAACATCCAGAGACTGCTGCTGGGTACTAACATCTTGTATGTGGTGTCACCAACCCCAGTGGACTCAGAGCTGTCACTTAAATGACACTACAGTATTCCCTTTTCTTCCTCCTCCGGCAGCTACATAACCTTATGTACAGAAGTGAGAGGAGGGGTGGAGGAGCTGGGCCAGCACAGAGAGTAAGTGGGCACTGCCAGAAGAGGAGATGGCTATGACATGCAAGGAGGGAGGGGGCTATGCAAGGGAATTGAGTAGCCAGAGTTTCTAGAATATTTGCCAATGCATAAAAAAAAAAAAAAATCACTGGTAGGGAAAACACTGAATGTAAGTATTTAAAAATACTTATTTTTTTTGTACTCCTACCTGAATTTTTAAGTTTTTTACAAGGTCTCCTTAAAGGATCAGGAAAACCAAAACTTAAATTTCAGTAACTGATAGATGCTGAAAAGTTAAATCAATGGTCTGTCTCTTGTATCTCTCTATGCCACCTGCTATGGCCATTTTGAGGGGCACCCAATCTACCTGCTCACTTTCTATTTCATATTATACCGAATGTAATAGGAAGAGTCGGAACAAACAGGTGAGGGGCACCAAAAACTCCCAGGAAACAGGAACACAGAAATACAAATTATGGCAGAGAGATCTTACTGTTGAGGTATCCAAGACATATAAGAAGCTAGCCCATGATGCACCTGGCTATAACTAAAATATATTGTTGTGTGGACTGGCCCTTTAAAACTATATTTCATAGAATAAAAAGAAATTGAATTTAAGTAATTGTTTAATAATTTAATAATAATAATTTAATTTCCTAATCCATTATGAAGTGTGTTGCCCTGGCAGACAGCAGAGAATCAGACGAGAGGAGTGCAATCTGCTGACTGTCAGAAGGTCATGGACCAATGTTTGAAAACATAACTAAGATTTTTTTTTATATGATCACATTTATGCTCTTTATTGTACACTCACCTTTTGGCGTTGGGGTCGGCAATGTTCACAGTGACATCCCCATTAACTTGATCCTTCCCCTCAATGTCATTGGCTTCAATTTTCTTGTTACTGGCCATGATGGAATCCTGTCTGAAAAATAAAAGTTGGTGCGATGTCAAGCAAACCTTCTAGTAGAAAACATAATCATTTCATTATAAAGAGACCAGGAGTGATGCCCCTAGAACAGATTGGTCTGTAAGGCTCCTCTTTTGCACATTTTTAACAGTTTAAAAAACATAAAACAAAAGCAATAAAAATGAAACAAAGGTTTTAGGGCTTATTCATCTTTGTTACAGCAAATACATCAAAAATGCATTTTAAGTGTAAATCCTATTCTTGCCTATGTGGTCGCTTCTCATCTATGAGCTGCAGTTTGATCTTAAAGAGAAACTATATTCTGGGTAAAAAACAGGTGAAAAAAACAGGGGTGATGAGGGTCAACTAAATATTATTAAGGAGGTACATAGGAACACATTTTGTTCTTTTTTTTAACTTATATAGTTGCTTTAAATGCTATCATTTTAAGTTTAAAAGTTACCTGAGGAAGGTGACTAAGTCTGTGAAACGCGTCGAGAGGGGATGCCTGCCTACCATTAGCTATTAATATTTCCTGACTTTTTTTTATTGATAAAATGAATACTTATTACAGTATTTAGTGTTTAGTTTTGGATAGAGTGGTGGGGTATTAAAACACCTGTCAGTTTTTATTGCTGTCTGGGCCCCCTGTTAGGGAGATTTACCCTCTTTTGTCAACCTGTTTACCATTATCAATGAAAGGAAAATCCCAAATTTTGGCTTGTCCCCAGAACAGGAATAGTGGGTATATCTTCAAATGGGACACTAGTTCTGGTGACACTGGTGACAACCATAAACTCCTTTACTTTGGAAGGAATTTCTCTCACTTCCTGTTTTAGCTATGAGACAGGAAGTGAAGTAAAATCTCCCCAAAATGACACAGCAGGCAAAAATAAACCAGGGTTATAACCCTCCCTTAATCTATCCAAAATAAAAAAAAAAAAAAACGTTTTTTTTCTTTGGTGCTGCTTTAGGGCAATGGTATTAGGCATGTCAAAAGGAATAATGTTAAGTGCTCGGTCACACCGAATTTGACTTCAGGTGTGACTTGCAAGACATCTGTGTGACATCATGACAGATTATTTATTATTATTATTTATTACAGGTACTTTTATAGCGCCATCAATTTACGCAGCACTTTACATACAGTCAGGTCCATAAATATTGGGACATCAACACAATTCTAACATTTTTGGCTCTATACACCACCACAATGGATTTGAAATGAAATGAACAAGATGTGCTTTAACTGCAGACTGTCAGCTTTAATTTGAGGGTATTTACATTCAAATCAGGTGAACGGTGTAGGAATTACAACAGTTTGCATATGTGCCTCCCACTTGTTAAGGGACCAAAAGTAGAGGGACAATTGGCTTCTCAGCTGTTCCATGGCCAGGTGTGTGTTATTCCCTCATTATCCCAATTACAATGAGCAGATAAAAGGTCCAGAGTTCATTTCAAGTGTGCTATTTGCACTTGGAATCTGTTGCTCTCAACTCTCAAGATGAGATCCAAAGAGCTGTCACTATCAGTGAAGCAAGCCATCATTAGGCTGAAAAAACAAAACAAACCCATCAGAGAGATAGCAAAAACATTAGGCATGGCCAAAACAACTGTTTGGAACATTCTTAAAAAGAAGGAACGCACCGGTGAGCTCAGCAACACCAAAAGACCCGGAAGACCACGGAAAACAACTGTGGTGGATGACCGAAGAATTCTTTCCCTGGTGAAGAAAACACCCTTCACAACAGTTGGCCAGATCAAGAACACTCTCCAGGATGTAGGTGTATGTGAAAGAAAGGAAGATAGGAAGAAAGGAAGAAAGAAAGTACATTTTTTAATTTCTATCTATATACATATATATAGATCTCTCTCTCTCTCTCTCTCTCTCTCTCTCTCTCTCTCTCATGTATATATATTTCATATACATATATACATGACTTTCAAAAAATGTGTGGAAAATAATTTTATTAAAAAAACAAGAATTAGCAGATGGCGGAGTACACTTGGACTTGCATGTTGTTACAGGTATGAATAAATAGTATTTAACCATCTCTTTATTATGTAAATGTTTTGATAAAATTAGCTGAACAACTAGCCAAAAAGTGCCGTCATCTTCCATTACGACAATGCCCCTGCTTCATTCTTTTCATCCCTCAAGGGCAACATTGCGTGAACTTCAGTTGGAAATCATTCCTGACTTAGCATCTACTGACTTTTTCTTACTTCCGAACTTGAAAATATCTTTGAAAGGCACTTGGACACCATCAATGATGTAAAAAAGGCAGCTTTGACATGGTTGTCATGGTTAAATTCTCAGGACCCTTATTTTTTACTGTCCGAAACGAAAGAAAGAAAGAAAGAAAGAAAGAAAGAAAGTTTTATTAAAGTCAGAGCCTATGGACATAGTCCCAGCAGACAGTACCATGTACAAATACTCTCACCCCTAGCTGTCCCAACAGCTGCCGTTTTTAATTGATTTGTACAGGTAGCTGTACCCGAGCAACTGTCACTGAGCAAGATATATTTGGATTTAATCACAGCAACAGTCTTATTTATGCCCACCATACACGTTACAATGTGATTGTACACTTTCCTTTACCTCTACCAACAACTACATTACATTGCCAAAAGTATTGGGTCAGCCCTCTAAATCATTGGATTCAGGTGCTCCAATCACCTCCATGGCCACATGTGTATAAAATCAAACACATAGGCATGCAGACTGCTTCTACAATGAGAGAGAGAGAGAGAGAGAGAGAGAGAGAGAGAGAGAGAGAGAGAGAGAGAGAGAGAGAGAGAGAGGGGAGAGAGGAAGAATGTGAGGAAAAAAAAAAAGGATTTACTTGGACACCCATGGCCTGCTCATCTGTCACTGTACACAGTGTGTAGCACTTGTCATATACAGGTGGCTGTGCGCAAACACCCATCACTGCCAAGCACAGAGAAATTCTTGTTTATTGCAGTGTATTGTAAAGGTTATTACTAAAATTGTGTGCTTTTGATTCAATTTCTCCATATTTTTCAATACCCCTTTTTTTAGAGGAGAAAGAAAGAAAGAAAGAAAGAAAGAAAGAAAAAGAAAGAAAAAAAGAAAAAAGGAAAGAAGGAAAAAGTAATAAAGTTAGTCTATGGACATAGCAGACAATCCCATGTACAAATACTCTCACTGTCATACAACGACTATGATACTAACAATCAGTGTCCCCCCCAGGTGTCACTGACCTGTCGCCGTCCCTGTAGTGGTGTCAGTGCCCAGTCCTCTGGTATAGATCCTCTGCTTGCTCCTCTGCTGATCGGTATACAGGAGGAGGAGTATGATCAGAGACAGGGATCGGGCAGTCAGTCAGCGGAGAATATTGAGCACACAACTCCTCCTCCTTGTCACAGATGGAGATGGATGGCTGTGGTCGGGCTGTGGTTGGCTGTGTATGGCTATGTGTACAGATGAGGAGGGGAGAGTGAGTGTCATAGATCAGGCCTCCTCCAGCACATGACACTCAGTTACATCATGCTCCATCCTCCCCTCCTAGCCATGTCTTAGCTCATCAGGTCTTCTGGAGGGTAATGACTTAACATCCTGTCAGCGCAGATATCACACAATCCTTCATATTCCTGCACAGGTGACTCACCTCTAAGGGTCCCCATACACCTGACAATCTGACCATACAGTCTCTGTACAATCTCCATTACATTTATCAAAACTAGGTAATATCTACCTAAACTGTGTAATCAATCTGTATTTAATTAGACACACCTTTGTACTACATTGTTGTAGCTCTAAAGATAGGCACACACCGTACAGTCTGATTGTATAACCTCTGTACAATATCCTTTACATCTACTAGAAGAACTATGTAACAGGAGCGCCTACCTAATCAATCTGTATCCAATCAGGCAGGCCACTGCACTACATAGTTGTTGGTAGAGGTAAAGGAAAGTGTACAATCACATTGTAACGTGTATGGTGGGCATAACTATGACTGTTGCTGTGATTAAATCCAAATATATTTTGGTCAGAAGTGACAGATATCTCTTTCTTTCCTTCCTTCTCTCCCTCTCCCTCTCTCTTTCCTTTTCTCTCTTTTCTTCTCTCTCTCTTTCCTCTCTCACACCCCCTTTCCCTCCCCCCTCTCTCCCCCCTCTCTCTCTCCTTCTTTCTCTCTGTCTCTTTCTTTCCTTCCTTCCTACTCCTCCTCTCTCTCTTCTTTTAGCCTCTCTCTCTCTCTCTCTCTCTCTCTCTCTCTCTCTCTCCCTCTCTTTCCTTCTCTCCTTTTTTACTTCCCCCTCTCTCTCTTTCTCTCTCTCTCCTTCTTTCTCTCCGTCTCTTTCTTTCTTTCCTTCCTTCCTACTCCCCCCTCTCTCTTCTTTTAGTCATTCCTTCTCTCTCTCTCTCTCTCTCCTCTCTCTCTCTTTCTTTCCTTCTCTCTCTCTCTCTCTCTCTCTCTCTCTCTCTCTTTCCTTCTCTCTCTCTTTCCTTCTCTCTTTTTTTACTTCTCTCTCTCTTTCACTCCTTCCCTCTTCCTTTCTTTTCTTCCTTTTCTCCCTCCCTCTCTTCTTTCAGTCCTTCCTTTTCTCTCTCTCTCTCTCTCTCTCTCTATTTCCTTCTCTCTCTTCCTTTCTTTTTATCTCTATTCTCTCTCTCTCTCTTGCAGACCAGTACCATACCGGCATATCGCTGGACTTCAAGTGGTTATACCAGAATAATGCTCACAGACACAGGCATCATCTCGGCACCATTATTTAGAGCCAACGATCGTCTCTCTTGTAAAAGCAATCCTAGTTGCTAACTAGCCACTGGATCGCTTTTACAAACAGCGGGAGTGGACATCCCCTCCTCCTGCCACCTTCCACAGTTTCCTCAGGCTGTCCCATCCCACCAAGACACCCTGCAACCAGCCAGCTCTTCTGCCTGCTGATCATAGAGGTGAACAAAGATTGGGACAGCTCTGTCCACCTCTATGATATAGGAAACCAGAAGTGATAAGCACACATCACTTCT